GCGGTGCGGCCCATGCGCGCCGAGGACGACAGCAACCTCGGGCGCTCAGCGGCGAGGCGGCTCGCCAGGCGGCGTGGCCGCGAGGCATGCGTGCGTGCACTCTGGCGCTGCCTGCACGGAGCACGCGGCGAGCCCGATCTGGAGGGAGGGCGGCTGGCCTCTCTCGCCGACGACGTCAGCAGGAGGGAACGACCTGCGAGGCCTGCCCTCGCCGCCGGAGTCCAGGGCGCGTCGGCCTCAGCGGAGCGCGTGCTTGTGCGAAACTGCGCACCGCACGCCCGCCAGCTGCCTCCTGACGGGGCGCCCGCGGCGGCTTGGCGGGTCGCCCAGCGCGGTCCGCGACTCGGGAGGGCCTGTGCAAGCAGCTCGCAGCGCGTCGACGCTCAGCACGCCGTGTTGTCCGCCGTGACCGAGGAATCCGAGGAGTCTGCATCCCCCGCGTGCGCGGGCCCACCTCAGGCAGCGGAGCAGGCCGCCCACAAGTACATCGTCATAGAGATCCCGCCGCTGCAGCTGCCGCCGCTCATCCCCAGTGTATCCTCGGACTACCACGGCAACGACGGCTACGACGGCTACGACAGCTACGACTTCGAGGAGCACTGCGACTTCGGCGACTTCGGCGGCGACGGCGGCATTTCCCGGCCCGCCGTCGCTTACCCCACGGCGGCCCTGCTGCACGCGGCAGCGGCGGAGGCCGCGCACGCAGCCACGGCGCGCCGCAACAGCGACCGCAAGCACAACCAGAAGGGCCCAGATGACCAAAGGAGGATCCAGACGACCAGAAGGGGATTCGAAGGAGGATCCAGACAAGGAAAACCACGCGCTGAGCGACCAGGAAGCCTTGGTCGAGCCAGACAACATGAACGAGATCCCGCACGCCAATGACCTCGTCATACCAAGGGCCACAAAAACGCCGAGTACGCGGCGGGGCTGGCCCCCCCCTAAACGGGCCGCCCGATACCATGGACATCAGAGAGGAGAGCCACGAAGAGTACGAGCAAGAGGACGCGGAAGACAGCGACGCGGACTGCGAGGCGCAGCTAGGGGAGCTCGAGGAGCACCACGTGCCCACCGACTACTACACCGCGAAGGGCACAAGCGGCAAGGCTCTCGAGATCGACAGGGCATTCTGGGAGCGAAGCCGAATCCCGCCGACAATCCGAAGCCCGTGGCGAGTCTTTGAGGAGGACCTCGAGGACGAGATGGAGGAGGCGAGCAACAAGAACGAGGAGGAACTGGCAGCCCTGCGAGCGCGCTGGGGCACAGCACAATCGATGGGAGCATCCGCGGCGTACGCGCAGCTCCCTCAGGCCAAGCGCAACACCTGCGAGGACACGACGATTGCCGAGCTGGCCGCCTACGCGAACTTCCTGCGCTATGCCGTGCAAGGCGGCTGCTCGGAGGAGGTGGCAGCGGAGGCATGGTGCAGCCTCAACTGCGAAGAGATGGCGGACTGGCTCGCGGACGACCCCAGGGCAACGCTCGCTGCGGGCCCGCGCTGGGCTCCGCTACTCAAGAATGAGGAGCTGACAGAGAACCGCAACCACTTCCCCAAGAACCAGCACCACTCGAAGACGGTGCGCTTCCGCCTTCCCGAGCCCGCGCCCGACGAGGGCGACGCGTCCGAGCACGACGACGCCTTCGGCCAACGCGAGACCGAGGAAGGTACCGCGACCAGCCCCAGGACCACTCCTTCAAGGAGGACTCCGACGGCTACCACAGCAAGTACGGCGGCGGCGCGAGGCAGCCTGCGAGGCGATGTCCGCCCCAGCAGGGCGAGGGGTTAGGCCCAAGCTCGCGAACGCCGCGTACAGCGACTCCTTTGACTGGGTCATCATCGTCACCCCAGCGGGGCGAGGGGTTAGGCCCAGGGCGCAGCCCACCCCAGCAGGGCGAGGGGTTAGGCCCACCGCAGAGTGGACGAGCGCATCGAGTTCGACAACCACTTGAACGACTTCCTCTGAGCGGGGGGGGAGAGGTGGCACAGAGTCGGCATCGAAAGGCTCGAAGGGAGGAGGAGGAGGAGGAGGAGGAGGAGGAGGAGGAGGAGGAGGAGGAGGAGGAGTGAGGAGGAGGAGGAGGAGGAGGAGGAGGAGGAGGAGGAGGAGGAGGGAGGGAGGAGGAGGAGGAGGAGGAGGAGGAGGACTTCGAGGTGGTCCCCCTTCGCCCAACGGCTACGCCCGCTCCGCGGGCACAGAGTCGGCATCGAGAGGCTCGAAAGGCGGGGGCCCCGAGTCGTCCTCGGCGCGTCGCCGCCGACAGGTCGAGGAGAGCGAGGAGGACCCCGAGGTTCGAGGCTCGAAGATCGAGGTGCTCTGGCGTGCTCGTGCCCAGGGAGCCGAGGCATTGCACACCTCCGGACGGAGGCTTTTCGCAAATTTCGGCCTCGAGGGGCTCTCGCCGGGCCCCGGGGCCGTCAAAAAACGACTCGGGATGACAAACCGGCCCCGGGGGGGATGCGGTCCTGGAAAAATCACGCCGTCGGATCTCTGGGTGTCCCGAGAGCCAGGACCCCGGAGCGAGGGGCGCCGCGGTGCTATTCCTAGTTCGGGCATGTCCCCCTGCAGGCGGACTTCCCAGACCCCCTCGAGCAATGAAAAAATCACGACGGGAGGTTTCTCCTACTTTTCGGCCTCCGGGGGCCCTCGCCGGGCCTCGGGAGCGCCAAAAAGCGACTCAGGATGCAAAGCCGGTCATGGGGAAAGGGTCGGGACCTCTCGGGGTCCACGTAATGAAAAATCATTACGTCGGGGGTCTGGGTTTGGAGGAAGCGTAGAACATAGTCAACACATGTTCAACAGAGGTCAAAACATGCTAGAGAAATCGTCCCCGGTCGAATTGTTTGGCGATGCCCGAACACTCCTCCTGTAGAGGGACAGGCCCGATCGAATGCCACTCCACGCCGGGTGCTCTCGCGCGGTTTCCTGGGCCACGGGGCCAGCGCACATCGATCCCGCGCGCAGGAAGATGGGGCCGCCGGCCGCCGGTCGTGGTCCTCAACTCCGGATCCGCCCTACTTTGGCTTTTTTTCCAACTTAAAATTGCGTCGGAAATCCACCTATCAGAGGCCGAAAAAGTAGGGCGGAAATTGCTGCACCCAGCATAAAATAGGGCGGAAATCCACAGAAACAGCAACAGAAAAGTAGGGCGGAAATTGGCATCAGCGGGGCTTGAAAAGTAAGGCGGAAATTCCAAGCCCTATTTACGAATTTCCCCAAAATAGGGCGGATCCGGAGTCAGGGGTGCGTCGCGACCCGGAGATCCTGGCGCTGCAATTTTGTCGCGCCGGGCGTTTCCGCCCCACTTTCGGGCCCCGGGGCGGCCCGGGGCCCTCGCAGACAGACGCGGCTCGAAAAAGGACGCAGACCCAGACATTCGACCGCTCGACGTCCGGATTTTGTCAGGGCGGCGTCCCCGGAAGGCCAGGCGTCGCTTTCCCTGGGGCCACAATTGTCATCCGGACCCATTTTTTGACAGTCGCGGGGCCCGGCGAAAAACATTCGTCCTGCATTTTTTACGACGCGATCATGTTTGGGGAAAGACGGGGTCCGGGGCCCCAGGCGCGATTTCCTGCGCTATTGCAGTTTTTGTGGCAACGTCGGATCTCCGGGGGTGCGTTATGGTTTGGTCTCCGGCGGCGTCGGACCTCGGTCGGAGGAGGAGGAGGAGGAGGAGGAGGAGGAGGAGGAGGGGGAGAGGGGAGGAGGAGGAGGAGGAGGGTGAGGAGGAGGAGGAGGAGGAGGAGGAGGAGGAGGAGGAGGAGGAGGAGGGATGGCGCACCATAGCGCCCACCACAAGGGATGACTCCAGAGTGGTGGGTCCAGTTCAAGAGATAGCCCCCGCAGGGCACATGTGTGACAGGGGGAGGAAAGGAAGAAAGGGGGGCCCGCCTCTTCCCGCGGCTCGCGGCGCCCACGCGCCGAGCGCCGACACGCCGATGTAGACGTGGGCGCATGCGGGCGGCGGGCGCGGGCGACGACGCGACGGGGGGGCAGGGGCCAAGCAAACATTAGTCAGAACTGCCCTCAGCCCCTCGGGAGGGGGTCGCGCGGGGAAACACCGCAGGGGAGGAGGAAATGGCGCGCTTACCTCCGCGCCCAGCCCCAGGACAGGCGGCGTCCGAAGACGCGGAAGCACGGTTATCGGGCGCGCCCTCGCAGCCGAGGAGGTTCGCGCCCGTCGTAGGATGGAGCCCGCGCTCCGCTCTCCGTAAACCCATGCGTTGCTTCGCAAGGGTGGAGACCACTGGACTCGGCCCCTCACAATGTCGCACCAGGTTCCTGAAACGAGCGGGGACCCCATGGGCACAGCACCGTCGACACACAAAAAGGGGCCCAACCTTAAAAGGGTCATGACCGAGGTCCCGCATGGGCTCCAAAGGGTCACCGACGGGCACAGGGGGCCCCGCCTCCAGACACTCGAGGGCATCAGGGTTGGGGGCGAGCTTCGCTGCAGCTTCGCACGCAACTCTCACAGCTTCGCTCCGCACCACAACAAAAAAAGACCCGTGCGCTAGGAACCGCTCCGTGGTGGCCGTCCTCTGGAGAGCCGCTGGGTTACAATCTCGAGTCAGCCTATTTGTGAAAAGGGCCTTGAGGGAGGCGGGGGTGCGAGCAAATCGGCCACAGTGCTTGCACCTCCACTCACCTCTGACCTGAGACCTCCAGAGACAGTGACGGGTGATCTGCACCTTGGGGACCGCGTAACATAACTCCGCCAAACGCAACTTCTCGGGCAGACCACCCGTCCACTCGCCGCTCTTTTGCAGCTCCAGGGAGACCCAAGCTAAAACAATTAGCGGTGATTTGTGGTATTTGAATTCCCCCGCCAAGGCCTGTAATAATCCTTCCGAATAGGAATGGGACGCCGCTCCTAGCCTAGCGAAGAAATCAGCCCACAGGTTGCCAGCCCAAAAACGCAGGCTCGACCCTTTTGTCCAGAACCTCGTCTAGAGAGAGGTGAGCTGGCTGCCAGAAACAACGCGGGGCTTCCTCACAAATTCGGTAGGTACCAACCCAAATCGCAGCATGCTTGGAACAGCCTCTGGCAGCCTCGGGACTCCAAGAGTTCCCTTCTCTCACCGTGGCCTGCAAATCAGACGCGATGAGTTCCGCGCACGAATTCTGAAACAAAGCCTGCCGCTCCGCCCACCTTTCGGCTCTGAGCCCCTGGCACTGGTACCAGATGTGGCCGTAGGTCCCGTTCGGGTGCAAACATACCCGACAATGAGGTGAGACAATGTATCCTTGCGCTGCCTTCGCAGCGGGGAGCGGGATGACGTTAGCCCACACGGCTGCCAAGGCAGCTATCTGCCCTGGGCACTTAATTGATTCAACTCCATTCCTCAGCGCACGATGCCAGATCTGCTCACTGCCGTCTGATGCCGAAGCATGGGACAGGAGCCGCCTATGCTGCCACCGCTGGAGGCCCCCTATGCGCGCGAGCTTCGCGTCGTATGGCGGCGTGCGCAGCAGGCTGGCGGCCACGGAGGACCCCCCTGGTTCCCGGGAGCCCTTATCGACCATCTATTATGAAGGGGCCACGGAGGACCCCCCCTTTTGCCGGGAGCCGTTATCGACCATCTATTATAAAAAGGGGCCACGAAGGACTCCCCTGGTTCCCGGGAGCCCTTATCGACCATTCATTATGAAGGGGCCACGGAGGACCTCCTTGTATCCGGGGAGCCCTTATCGACCATCTATTCTGAAGGGGCCACGGAGGACCCTCCTGGTTCCCGGGAGCCCTTATCGACCATCTGTTATGAAGGTGCCACGGAGGACCCCCCTGGTTCCCGGGAGCCCTCATCGACCATCTATTGTGAAGGTGCCACGGAGGACCCCCCTGGTTCGCGGGAGCCCTGATCGAGCTCGCCAAGGTCCGTGACGAAGATGTGGACATTGCACATGTCCCAATTGATCCGTAAAAAGAGCCAGCCACATACATGATAGTGGTCCTTTGGCACTGTGATGAGGAAGGCGCAGTCATAAACAGGATCGTAGTAGGGGTCTGGGTTCATGATCATATACGCCGTCACTCCACCGTGCGGCTTGCCACCAGCCATGGTGGCTGCGAACTGCCTGAAATATCTGAGTGCCGTGTCCGAGGCGCCTGTCGCGCCTGCTCCGCGCGCCGCAGCTGGCATGGCGCCTGCTCTGACCAACCTGGGCGCCTTGCGCCCAACTGCTCCCTTCAGGGCGAGGAATTTCTTCTTCCGTGCCTGCAGAGCTCGGAGACGCGCCTTCTCCTGATGCCCGACGACTTTACTGCAAGGTCATGCCCAAGGTTCCGCGCCCACGGGCGAAACTGCAGCCGCCGCGCGGCGGCCCGCTTGACGAAATAGTGCCGTCCACGCCAGGCGGCCGTGGCGATGCCTGACTTCTTGGGCGGCGAGAGGAGGCCGAGCTCTGCAGCGTCATGTGTGAACGCACTGACCGCCCGCTCCAGCCATCGAACTTCTGACCTGTCGCTGGTGACTAGCTGGATGGATGCATCGTCCACGTAGGCCCTGGGCGTGATGCACGGTGCCACTTGTGAGAGACGCTTGGGCGCCCTGAAGGTGAGCAAGTCGAGAATGCCTGTCGCGTGCGAGCAGCCCGCGAGAACGCCCTGGAATGTCGTGAAAAGGTCCGTCACGCTGCCGAACGCACGCAGCCTACGAGGAATCGCGTAAAGCTGGACCAGCATCCAGGCTAGCCTCAAGGGAAAATTAAGCTCCTTGGCCTCCCTCAAAATCTGGGAGGGCAGAATCATCTCGAAATAGTTTGTCATGTCGAGCAGCACAGAACTTGAAATATCTCCAACTAGAGTGGCTGCCTCGGAGCTGAGGTTGCACGCGAAGGCACTATCGGAACTGCTGCAGCCTCGGCGAGTGCCCCAGATCTCGAGGCAGCCGTGCGCTGCCTGCCAGTCTGAAGTCATGGATTGACGGATCTTGCCCCAGATCCTGCAAAACGTTTTAATTGGCGCTATTAGCCTCGTGCCTCCTTCTGGTTTGGCCAGCCCCACCAACTCAGTCCAGATCCTCTCGCTAGGCCAAAAGAGAAGGTCTTCGCATTTGTTAAACGCCATGGCGAGGGCCTCACAGCCCCCATCGGGAATATGTAACAGCGCCCTCGGTGCTATCTTGGTAGTGCCAGCAGGGGTCCTAGCACGGTACCTCTTGACGACCTCACGAATTTGGCAGGGCTGGATGGGCGACAAACTGGGCCAACTCTGGGCCTCCCCGGGTAGTGACTGAGCGGAGCAGCCATGGGTCAACCAGACCTTCTTCCAAGGCTCCAGCTCAGCTGCCACCGGCGCGTGGGGCTGGGCGTCAGAACCAACGCGTAAAATCTCCTGGGCGGCCCGAGCCCGCGAAAAACGATGAGCCAATGAGGCTCCATGCGCAAAGCTCTCACGAGCCCATTCCAACCAAGCTTTTCGAGCGGCATTGTAATCCATTGGATCCTGGCCTTGGCGGCAGCATACATATGCGTGAGCATGCAAGGGAAGTCAGGACGC